ACGTCCTCTATCATTTTAAATCTAACCCCTGAGACCGTCACCTTCTGTACCAGCCCCGGTGGTGCACTTGGTTGACTTCATCGAAATCGCTGGTCGAAGACACACACACACACCCTCCTACAAGTATAGAAAAACGCATCTAAATGGTGCGCGCACCGATTCGGTCCAACAGGTGCACGCGTGAATGCTCAGAAAAACAGCATACACTTCTCAGGCCCAAAAAAACATCACTTGAAGTGATAATCTATGGATGTTCTCACACGGAAAAAACGTGTGTGTGTGTGTGTGTGTGTGTGTGTGTGTGTGTGAGTATGTGAACATTCTAGTCCTGTGTCTTGGTGTACTTAGATCTTGCGCAAGTAGCGTGTAAAACACACACAAACGGGGGAATCTCACGTCATGCTAGCCGCATCCCCAATGGGTTGACAGACCCGCACTGGCTGCTAATGCCTAGTGGGGACAGGAGAGTGAGACCGAGACCTGAGATATTTTCACGGCAAATGGGCACATGTCGCACAATAATAAATTGGACGCGGTTAAACTATCCTGACAGCTAACTTTCGTGACTCTAAAAACTGTCAACTCGAATTTTCTTGGGACTGGGAATCGAGCTTCAAGGGTCTTTTTAACACAGTTTCCATGGCACCGTTTCTTGCATTACATCTTAAGCCACCTAAACCAGTCCAAAGCAGGTAGTTTAGTTCCCATACCTGCCCCGGATCGCCTTTACCTTGGATGCGGTAAATGCATCGCAAGTCGGTTTAAACATTAAAAAAAATCATGCGCAGGTAACGGCTGAGCCGCTACCCCAATTATACTGCACTCGATCTGGGGCGTCCCCGCCCACCTGAAGGCTTTGAAGCGGAGTTCAACTCAAGACCTGGCTCGACACAGTTCATAAAGATACGAAAGCGATACTTGGAACTTTAGTATCCGTCGCCGGAGAAGAGAATGGGCTGAGCCTTCTGCATCGGCTGCCGCAAATCCTCCGCCTGGAGAGGTGCAATACATGACATCATCATCAAAGCCGGCTACATCAGGCATGATCACAAGTAGCACACCCAGTGGGTTAAGTAAGAGCCTTGCCGCTTGCGACGATCGAACCATTGTGTGTGTGAATGTGATTCAGTTTTACAGAGACTGTTGATGTGAAAGCACGTCAGGGCCTGTGTTGGTGACCAGATGCAGGGACGGGCGCGCTTGGGGTTGGGCGTGTGCACGCATGGCAGTCCAGCACACGCGAACAGGCGACCAAGCAGCACGCACACACACAAAACAGGCGGTTCACAGGTGCCAACAAAATTATGGCCGGCAACCAGCGTCAGTGCGGAATCGCATGAGTGCGTGGTGGAGAACGCACATTATAAGTGGAAGCGATCACACGGTCAGCAGGTAGTACGCATGTAGGCACTCAGTAGTCCGTCCACCGTGTCCCATGAAACCCGCCTTTAACTGGCCTCATTCACTACACACACCTGTTGTGACATCGCAACTACTACCCAAACTGGTTTAATGGCTCCAATGTCTCAAGTACTTCTGACGAGTGCAACCCGCGCCCAGTTATCGAAAGCCACGCCGCTGGACACCGCAAAGTAGTTAATCATGCATGTCTGAAAATAAAGCGTTGTGGATGCAGGGATTGCGCCGAATTCATAGTTCATTTTTGTATACTTTAAATTACCACTTCGAGTACAAATAACCGACTTCGTGGAGGGTTTTATCCTTGAGTGGATGGGACGGGAGGCGGCGAATGTATGCATCAGAAGTCTTTAAACTGGGACGAGGTGATTGCGGTCTGCAGCGAAATCTCGCGTTCAAGATAAAAATGTGCCGATTAAAACCAACACACTACGGAGATTTGGCAAACGAGGTTAGGTAACCGAATATTAATAGGGCATAGAAGTAGTAGTTTGCTGCCAAAAAGCAGAATTCATTTGCCTCTACCCTCGGGCATCAAATCTTCAACGGGCGTCCAGAAAAGATTGATACCCATGCAACTTCTTCAAAGAACGACAAAATTACATCGGTCCCAGATGTTGGCGAGCGATTCCATACGCCAAAAGCGTATAGGAGGCCATCTGCCATTTTCTCGCACCACTCAGAATTGGAGCCGCACCGGCCGGAGGCCCATATTAGCCGTCAGATAAATGAGACTAAAAGACCCACTGCCACGGCAAGCAACATCAGGAGTTTTTCATCGGATATGGTGCAGCCGCGGGAAAGACAACTACGACGGAGATACTGGAAGACTGCTCTGGACGCGAATAGCCGAACACGCGGCAGCAGTTTGGAGAAATTACGCCAATTCTCAAGTCGCGGTTAATTCGACAAGACTCGACCACGCATCTAAGGTTGATGGGGCCGATAACTTTATGAGGTCACAATCGCGTCAGCTGCGGGTTGGTTTAGTCATGGGTTATGGGCCTTCAGTCTATTTATAATTTCCATGACTCATCTTCGCTGGTATCGACAATGTATCAGTTGCTCTATACTGCGGACTAGAGCTTGTGAGATATCGTATCTCTTTCCAGATCTTCACATTGAAAAGAATATCGATATCTCGTTGGGTAAATTAGCTCAACGGTGAAAAATGAAATTTCCTCGATAGGAGCTTCGTACCTGACATAGTCAGTGTTTACTGTGCCAAGTATTGTCGTGGACTCGAACTCTATATAAGTATGACTCGCCCAGGTACCCAAGGCGACGAAGTAATGCACCCTATTACTGATAGTTTGCTACGTGGCTAAGGTAGTCTAGTTTCCCTTCTAGTACCTGGACGCCATCGAAAGATGACTCGCCCGAAAACCATCATGTTCAAACTTTGCTACTTCCTTGTACTGGAAGAAGCGTAAGGCAAACTTGCATTCCCAAGTAGGTCTTATATGTTTCACTCCGAAAAGGCCTCCTTTCACTGTCAAGTTAAGGCCTCCAGCTGTGGCTGGTTGTTGATTAAGTAGTAAAAATTAATTGTGGTAATTTTTCCGTAGGTATTGATTGGCGTGGCGGAGACGGAGCCAGGAAAGCTGGAACTAGCGTAACATTTCGTTGCACTTAATCGGGAAAAGCAAAGGCGTTAAAGGGAGTACCGACGTTTGCCGTGCAAACTAAGGTTTTCATGAAGTTGGCGCGCCTAACAACGTTTTGTGTGCATTCAAACCTGCTGTCCAGAGGCTACTCCTACTCGTAATGAAGGCTCGCGATTAATTGACTTTAACAAACAGCAAGAGGAAAGACAACCACTGATTATTACCTGCGACAGTTTAAGCCAATCACGGAGTGGCATGCTCTATTTACGATACTCTGGACGCTACTCTTAAATTTCGACGCTAGAAGCAGAAGGTTGAGGGGAATAATGACTCCACTCACACTGTTATGTATGGAGAGGTAGAGTATAGCAAATAAACTCAGTTGAGGAGGATGCAGATGCGGGATAAAAATCGACCTCGAAAAAAAAATGGTTTCCCAAGTCAAGGTGGAGAGGCATCGAGATCACCTTAGGCAGGGTTAACTTTACCCAGCGGGAGGACAAAATGTGCTTCATTTGATTTATATCAAGGTCTATCCAAATGCACTGCTCCTATATGAATGCGACATCTGACTATCGGTAGGGATGATAGGCACTTACTTGACGGGCAGCTCCGTAAGAAAATGAAAAAACCGAGGACCAAATTAAAAAAATGAGAAAGCAGCAACTTGAACTATAGGTATGGAGAGCGGCGATTATAGACTATTGCAGCAGTAGGAAAAATGAGGAACGTACCGCTATTGTCGCAGGTGTACTAAGTTGAATGATACAACGCACATTGGGCAAGGCCTCGTAGATGGTAGCATGTAACATCCAGCCCTGTTTATCAATACCCAGACCTGAACGGCCCTCGTCAATTACGGTGCCTGTCACAGTAAATAAAATAAATGTGACTGACTGCAAATTGTAGCTCCAACAAGTAAAACAGATGGCACTATGGACAACGTAGAGAATTGGTTAGCAATCAAAAGGGGCACTAGAACACTGCATGCACCTCTTAATCGAGCACTAAAAGCAAGGAACTAGGCTGAAGTCTTTGTGGTTTGTTATTCTATACGTCAACCCCTGGCACACTGTTTGCCAGACTTTTTCTAGAGAAATGGTACATGTGATCGTCCTTCGTGTTGATCGGGAAATAAGCAAAATCAGGGATAGTTGACAAGAAGAAGCGCAAGACAGAAGACAGATGAACAGCTTCGGAAAGTTCACGCTTGCTTGCTGGGTGTCAGCCATAGCGAAATTGCAGGTTACTAGTAGTGGAACTGAGCTCTGCGCTCCATCTATCTCAGCTGAAAATGAGTCCTCAAGCTTAATGTGGACCCGCCCTGATAAGGGTGATGTTCTTGAAATATACATAGTTTAAGAAAGTAAATTACCCGCCAAGTCAACTTTCACCAGCGAGGAGGCCGCGATTTCGTTAAAAAGCAAGCCACGAGGATTAAAAAGGTAGGCGTCGGAGTCTTTAAAAATGCGGGCCTAAAAGATAGAAAAATATTTGATTCAACATAAATGTCCTGGAAAATAAAAAGTCCTACCAGTATAAAAGCACGTCTGTAAATGCAAAAAAATGAAAAACTTACTGATATGTGACTAATTACGCCAGAGCTCCAACCGAAGATGTCGATGAGACGGTAAGTAGCAGCAAGCTTACAGCGCAACAATCTTTCCGGCTTCGAGTAGGGCGAATGTCCAGAAGCAAGGTCATTTATTGGTATGACAGGCAGAGTTGCACCTAAAAGCGTAAGTTGTTAATTCGTGATAAGCAAAGGAAAAGGCATAAGACGCTATCTGAACCAAAAGTTTCGGGCCATATCTTTTTTTGCAGGCCACTGGAATTCCGAGAGAATGTGACCAGCCGAAGAAAAGATTGAAAAGGCAGGCGTGTCACAAACGTCTAAGAAAACTATTGAGCGACTGCAACTGCCACCCTGATCTTATTCTTGGTCGACTCGGAAGCCAGTGTCAGGCTCCGAGTCACCGCCAGAGTTAGCAAGTACTTCACGACAGCATAAGCAAATCAAGAAAATATTGCTACCGACGAACACGATGTACAAACGCAACAAGACGGTCTATAAGTAATAAAATAGCAAATATTTCTTGCAAAGGCGCTATTTTATTTTATATTACAATAACGCAAGTAATATACATGAGAGGAACCAGTAATCTCTACTATTCCTGGGCAAATGGCCTCGAGCAGTCCACTGTTAATAGGTCATGAACTTATCAAGTTTCGGCAAGCTGCCAAGGGCCGCTTTTTGTAAGGTACATGTTCTTCTTGTGTTTATAAATTATTCTACAATTGAGAGAGGGTTATAGGTAGGAAATGTGTAGTTATAGGGCTTAGTTCTCCATTCAAGTCACTTTCCTATGTCTTCGAGGTGACCCTATATAGGAGGCGACTAAATATATCGGAGAAGTTCAAATTGATGGGGTCTATGGTGTCATATACGACTAATAAACATAACAGACCCATGCGCAAAACTTTCCACACAAAAAACATGCATCGAACGTGATGACCTCCGGAATTAGCAAATTTGTTGTTATTCCAAGATTAGTCCACATTGGTCATAAATGAGTTAGTAAAAACGGTTCTTAGAGGGACAAAGTCTTCTGAAAGTCAGATATGCAAACGCAAAATATGCTGACGAAAGTTGTTAATATTCTGTATTACGAACATCAAAATGTTAAAATGCAAAGGCCAATATTTCCCATCAACATTACTGCACCCCCGACTTACTGCAGTGTAATAAGAATAAATTTTAGATCCCGACCTGTGTACAGAATTTCCATATTGTCTACCGGTTGATAACCGTAGAAAAAAATGCGCGTCAGCAGAAGCTGACAAGTGCCTGAGTAAATTTTCTAAATAGAGATAACGTTATATTCAGGAACAGACGTTAACTCGCGAAGATAATGACGAGAAGGTGAAAGCAATATGGCCTATCGAACTTCCATAGACAAAGTTAAATAATTTAATTAACTAAACAAACAATGCTGAGCAATTTAGCAGTACTATTTGTGGAATGGGTGTTTAATTTATAAGGTCCATATGTGAGGATCTGACTGCGAAAATTCTTAAAATGTCTGTTATCAATGTCCGGAATGGCTGTCTGTATTGAATCTATCGCGAATAATTTTACATGAATCTTAAGAGGATCCTTCAAAATACAGACAACTAGACAAGAACGTTTTTAAAGAATAGGAAGCAGTCTTATTGCCCCTGCCATAAATGGCTGATTGCGTGCAGTTCCCTCCACCAAATGAAGATCGCGTTATCAGCTGCACTAAAACAGCTAATTGTGCTGATGAAATAAGAATTTTTTAATAAAATAACAGTCGCTAGGCTACGCGTGAAGTTTCTAAATACGTCTCGGCCCACCGGGCCTAGTTATTCACACCGCTTTTGCGAGTATATTCATACGGTACCGAACTGGTTTTTGAAGTATATCAAGCGAGACACCCGGACATGGTAATTTTACCTTTTAAAGCAAGGACTACTTCGATATCTTTGGGGACGCGCCATGAGTTATCGGAGTATATCCGAGTGCTTTTAAATGTGTGAGAATGTCACATCAACTTCTACCAAAGTGGCTGTTGCCTGGATTGGGGAGACTCGGAACATAAACCAAATATCTTGCCTAAGGCGTCAATTACTAACTGACCCTTGGAAAAGGCTGATGATCCTAACTTCGTGTGTGGTGTAAAGATGTCCAGAAGCTGTTTCAAAGCCAGCACGTTGGCACTCAATTCTCCATTGCGCATTTGTGACGCGACAATCTTTTCTAATTCTTGGCGAAAGGCTGGTGAGCGAAGGATTAGTGAAACCCTTCGTCTTTGCTGCATGAGCTTAACATCTTCCTTGATTACGGCAGGCCGCAAGAGCTGTCGGACGTATTCTGGATCGTTCGAATCTGATAGAAGTGTGACAGTGAATGTGAAACTTTACCCAATCCAGCAAAATATTCGTCTACATGCTGCGGATTTGCAACGGCCGTCATCTTACAATACGGGCAAACGACAAACCCCGGCCAAATCAATGATTCCCATTGATGTGAATAAACAAGCAAACACGGATGTGGCCGTCTTTTTTATCGGATCGCCATAATTTTTGGACGTAAGCGATCTATTTTCAGAACATTTTGGAAACCAAATCACCCACTTTTGCGTACTTGGAAGGGACACAGGGGATGTATTTGCAGAAGATCAAGGGCAGCCTACCACCGAAACTGATGGGAGAAGCTGACAATAACAAATAAAATGCATTACTGAGCATTCGCGTGAGATAAAATTGCAGGTTGCCAACTTCTTCAAACCACTTACCTTGAACACAAGGAGTACCGGCAAATCAACTTGAAGATTTTCATTTGTGTCATTAGCGCATGTGATGATAATTGTAACGTATTTGGCCCTGTGAAGTAACCTGCAATCTGATTAGTATGTTCATTGTCATAACACAAGGTTTGAAGTCTTTCGCTCGGCAAAGCATTTTTTATTTCCTTTTTAAAGACTATGCGTCTATAGCAACCCAAAAAAGAGGGGTTTGTTTTAGCTCTTTTCCTGTGCTACAAGGGTTTTGACGGTGCCCAAGAGGTGCCTTGTCAAAAAAAACCTTATTATATTCCGAACTAGCGCGGAAGCCCGGCTTCGCCTTGGACTTCCTTACATGTTGTTGTCCCTTATTTAGGCAAACCTTATATGAAATCCTAATAAAATAAATAATGTTCAATTCATTATTAGGGAAATGTAGGTAAATACCTTTGAACTCCCTCTTTGTACATAGCTGTGATGTAAATATAGGTAAATACCTCTGAACTCCCTCTTTGTACATAGCTGTGATGCCGAGCATGTGGCGTTGCCAGTAATGAAACTGCGTTAAGGGGGGCAGAACCTTTGTTAATATACTTGTAGACGTAGGCGTTGCCAGTAATGAAACTGCGTTAAGGGGGGCAGAACCTTTGTTAATGTTCTAATGGAACTACGTTAAGGGGGGCAGAACCTTTGTTGATGTACTTGCAGACGTACTTGAGGGACTTCGCTGAGTCGCAAAATTCAACATTGATGTGGGCGTTTAATACTTTTGACAGTAGGGGACAA